TTAAGAGGGCCAAAGGCAACTTTTCAGAGCCAAAGCACAGGAATGTGATAAGAGACAAAACAAGGAAGATAGGGCCTAAAATGCCAAACTAAAAGATTTGCATTTTAGCCTGTTGGGAACTCACTTTTACTCTTTCAAAAAGGGGCTGTCTCATACAACTAGAGAAACATCCCCTAACACAGAATTCTTAGCGTGTGTGTGTGTGTGTGTGTGTGTGTACACTATGACCCCCTTTGGCAGAATGTTAAAGTCTACTGATCTATTCTCAGAATGTTTCCACATAAATTCCAAATAATTTTTGTATGTATTTCACTTTTAAGGCAGTGGAGCATAGTCATTGAGCTGTGCACAGTGACTTTCTTCTGATAGAGTACAGCACATGCTACCCCAAAATGTAGCACATTGGCATTTGAGAAAATAGCAAAAGCAAGAAGGACGCGCTCACCTTCCTCTTGCCACTATCCTCTGAAGTAAGTCATGTAACCTATGAAGGTCATGCTGGCATCCTTTCACCCTTCGCCTAAGCAGGTCACACGACCCTCACTAATGGAGGTGCTCTTCCTATGCCCAGAATAAAAGAACATCCTTCTCTCTGAAGACAGAGGGACACAGAAAGGAATCAATGAATAGGCCTTGCTATGTTCTCCCAGTTTCTTAACAGGAGATCATACCCTCTTTGTCTGGTCATACTTCTCTATGATTATCTTTTAACCAAACTTCAGCATAAAAAGACTTGAGTTTACCTGTTTGAGTCTTCATGAAGGGTCCTGTATCAAATACAATTTGAATGCTATTCTCTTGCTAATTTATCTTTTCTTATAGGGGCCTCAGTCTTTAACTTAACAGTGTATGAAGAAATCTATATTCCCCTATATTTTCAATGAGTATCGTATGGAAAGTTGTTTGTTTGTTTGTTTGTTTGTTTTGGGTAGGCTGACACTTTACTGTAGAGAAACCTAACATTACCCCACAGCCAAGTGGTCAAAGATAACACTGACAGCAGTAAGTCATGTTGTATGAACCCTGAAATGATGTGATGAAAAGGCACTTCACCTCTTTGACCTTTACCTCAAAAATATTTTAACCAGTCTTACCTTGAGAAAAACATAGTACAAACGGGATTTGTCTACAAACTATCTGATCAGTTATTCTTCAAAACTGTAGGGTCAGGACCAGCTGGTAAAGTAGTGGTTAAGGCACTGGATCCCACATGGCTGACAGCATGGTTCAAGTTCTGGACCCAGGGACCTGTAATACATGCTGGGCTCATGTTGTGTGTACATGCCCAAAATCCCAAGAGGAGAACAGAGAAGAAGAGATTTTAGTGTGGCCATCTCCCCTGCGGGGTGCTTTCTCACTGGCCCTCTCTTTCTATGTCTCTTCTGAAAGCACATATACTCTACAGCAAAATTAAGAGAGAGGAAGGAAGAAAGGAAGGATCGAAAGAAGGAAAAAGAACAGAAAGAAAAAAAGAAAAGAAATGAAACGTCAGGAACACCAAGAAAGAAAGATCTGGATAACTCTCATATCCAAGGGGAGATGTGACTACCAAATGTAAGATGGTATACTGGGTTATTGGGGAAGTCATGATGTATTTTGCATAGAAAAACAGAAAAAGATATCCTGACTTCCCTGAAGACCTAATATATCTTGGATAGGATTCTGGAATAGAGAAAGGCGATTAAATCTGAACACATAGTTAAAATATATAATGATTATTTAAAATTTGCACAATTGCTAGGACAAACGTAGAAATTGGTTGTGGAGCATACAGGAACATTTTACTACATATGGCAATAATTCTATAAATTTAAAACTGTTCTAATTTTTTTTAAAAAAAAGTGAGATGTAAAGGACTAGAAAAGAAACTAATTACAGTGAAACTATAATTTACTTTTTTTCTTTTTCATTTTTGCTATAGGGCATGTGTACTTGCCAGATAGAGACAGAGAGGGGGGAGAGAGGAAAAGTGAGAAATTACGCCCAAGGGGGGATGGCCATGCCTCAAGCCCTTCTCCTCCACTCTCCTCTGGTGATTTTGGGCATACACATGTGCCAGGTATATTTTCCAAGCTTCCAAGTGTGGGACTCATACTGTGACGTCAGCCACATGGCATCCAGCTGCCTTTACCACCAGCTGACCCAATAAAATTATTACTTAAAAAAAATTATATGATGGCATGCCCCTATAGTACCAGCTGCTCAGTGGGCTGATGCTGGATGATCACATTAGGAAGACACTATCTCTATAAAAACAAAACAAAACAAAACAAAAAACAGAAAAAACACACCAGATCTGTGATATGGTAATATATGCGCTTGTGCTTCTTTACTAATGCATCAAATAAAATCGATAAGCAGAACTAATTATAGTAATTTCAATGTAGTGATGAATGTAAACAATATTTCAAGCTATATACAGGATATAAAATTATCAATACAAGAGATATTTTTCTGGTGAGAGTCAAATGTACAGCTAAAATTTCTGCACTCCGTGGTTTACAATCAAAAGTGAAGGAACACTGCTTCATTTAGATCTAAGTAAAAATAACAGATGTAACTTTTTTTACCAAAGATTAAAGACCCTTTAACTCTACCCATGGACCACAGGCTAGCAATCCATCTTCTAAAAAATAAATATGAACACAAAATGGACACTGTGCTGTAGGATGTCTGATAATCACTACACTTTATGTCACTAAATCTTCACAATACCATTCCTCCAACTAGGCAGTCAAGTAACTTGTAAAAGGTCATGGTCATGTGACCAAAAACAAATTCAAACTATAGTGTGATTCCAAGCGAAGATTCTGACAATGCACCTCTAAAAATTTTCCCAGCCCTTGTTGAGGAATTTCTGAAGAACACTACTGATTATAACTAACAATGCTCCTAGTAAACAGCTTTCTGTTCGGTCAACCTGGTTAAAACGAAAATGTAACACTTTCTAGATAGAGTTCCATGGAGAATAAATCCTCTTAATCATCAAGCTAATCCAAAGGAAAAGTATAGACACAGAAGATCTCCACCCTTGTACAAATCTGAAAAGTAAACTACTGATTCCACGTTCCAGTTCTGACCTACACATTTGAGGTAACAAGGGCACATTTTATTTGGTCTATCGCAGTTTCTTAGTTTATCCAACTAAGTATTACTAGCTCTATTTTCTTAGAAGTATTCTCAAACTATAATGTTTCCTAAATATATTTTCAAATAAGTGTGTAACTAGCAAACATAAAGCACACTTTCTAAAAACAGTAAATGTTCAGTAAGTCATTTATCTTCATTCTAAAAATTTCCTCAATGAAATATGCTACTCTATGAGAGCTATACCTAAATTATGATTTGCCCCTACAATATGCCAATAGATCAGGAATTATAACTAACAGATCTAGATTTGAATTCTGTCCTTTAGCAGCTGTGTGATGTTGACAAATTACTGTAAACCACTAGGCTTCTAGGTTTCATGTTATCAATCATGATTGGCAATTGATAATAAGATATTATTATGTAAGGATTGAAAGGAAAAAAATGATTGTAGTGCACTGAGCAAGGTCTCAAAATATTATTCATTTGATTTCCTTAACTATGACTTAAAATTGTAAGTTTTCCCTTAACAATGTTCATAAAGAGTCCCTGAAATACGATTTTTCACTTACTTTTAGCTGATTCTTTATATAAGAGAGATTTGCTCAAGAGGAGGATTTTATCTGTCTTTGGAAGAAGTCAAGATCATCTCCATTTAAGGACACATAAGCAGCTACTGCTAAGTGCTACCCATTTTAGTTACCCGTAAGAAAGTAAAGCGGACTGAGTTTACTCTGCTATAAACATTTTAAAAAACAAAATTTGCCAATAGCTCTTCCAAGATTAAAGAAGAGATTTATGAATCAGATTTCCCAAATGCAGTGATTTAAGTAATTATAATATATAAAACAAAAAATTAGACAAACAAAAAACAAGTGACTGACACCTGGCTTTTCAAAAGAATTTTTTTTTCCCAGTTCCACTATAAAAAGAACTATTCTAGGAAGTTCAAAAAATATCATTCCTCTTAGCAAAATTTTATTTATATAGTAATTTTAAAGAAAGAACCTGCTGTATTACATGAAGCATTCTTTTAGAAATACAATACGTCAACACATGCAAATCTGTCAAAAAAAAAGCCTCATTAATAAGGACACAACTGATTAAGATCTATAATCATTATTAATTTTACAAGAAAGTTACCCTTGGTACTGTGTCAGCTTAAAATGTAATAAGATTCTATAGTAATTTAATACAGTGGTTAAAAAAAATCTTAAAATTCTTAAATTTACAAATCGCTATTTTTCTTAGGGTGATTATATCAGTTTAAATATGGGAATTATTATTCATAAATGTATTATTAAACTACTAATTAAAGAAAACACAATTTAAATAAACTTACTAATTCTTTAACTCTAAGATAAAGCTGATCTGTTAAAACCGAAAGCAGTTATTAGCCTGATTTTTTTCACTCATATTCCTTCGTACATATATTAAATAAGAGGAACAAGAATAACACAGGAAAAGGTACACAATCTGATTTTGTGAAAATGTCTTTAATTACCGTCTTGCTAGAAGCTAACATTATGAAACTGCAATATTAAAGCAACTATAGCAGCAACACCAAAGCTGCTTTAGTTAAGCCTGTATTAAATATTATTCTCACTCTATTCAATTTCCTATTACAATAACTTCTTTAGCTAAACATCATCATCATCAGTATAAAATTGTCTCTAAACCTGAAATTTTAAAGAGAGCTTTCTACCACTCTAAATTTCTTTTTTTCATTTATCTGTCATATACTTTCTAAAATTAAAAATAAAAAATGTAGCAAAAGTGTTAATAACCTTTCCACACCTAAAGTAAGATAAATGAAGTTCTAAAGTTTGGTTGTGATAAGACCAGGAATAACCAATCATAATTTCAGAATTCCTGGATGACATCATAAGACCTCCCTAGAACACTTTTTCCCCTCCACCTACTGCAACTGTTCCCATAAACCTGGCAACAGTCAGAAAACTGCCCAGCCAAACGCCCATGAGATTCATACAACTCAATACTCTCTCTGCATTGTGACTGATGATCACAGAAGCCAAGGTAAGAAATAGATTACACTGATTTTGGAAATTCTTACTTTCTATAATTCATGTTTACTCAACTTTTTTTTAAAAAGTTAATAATATGTTATAAATTTCAGTTCAAAGTTAGACCAAAAATATTTTAGTATAAAATGTTTAACTTCTAAATAAATGCTTCTCCATTTAGTGACAGTAAGAATGAGATATAACTTTGAAATGGAAAGGGTCATGTTCATATTTGATCCTAATTATTGGCTGGCCGTTTTAATTTAGCTTCCATTTTTATTTTGCTTTTCAAATGTGAGTTTCTGCCGATTTAAAAATCTTCCAGTTATGTTACCATATTTGGTGGTAGTGGTGGATTAATTTCCCCATCTGAAAACAAGGGCTTAATTTTGTCATTTGTTACTCTGCTGAGCAACAGTACAGGACTGAGCTGCCTAGTTACAGCTGGAATAATGTGAATAGTCGTGTGACTACAACAAGCACAGGATCAGTATGCCCTTTCCATTACTGTCATTATGATTCCTTAAAATGAACACTAGTAAAATGGAGTTTAAAAATATATAATACAAGCTACTTTTTAAATGTTCTTGAAGATTTCTCCTCTCTGTAAAGTCCAGTCACTTTTTAACTCTTCTAAAAATTCCGTGCTTTTAATAAATTGAATTACTTATATTAAGTTTATATATATATATATATAAAACACTTTGGAAATGTTAAAATTGTCAAAAATGTATATAAAATTCTACAACTGCAAAATAATAATTCAACATGTTAAAAATAAGAGAATCTATTTCAGCATACAAAACATTTCTAAATGTCTAATTTGAGCAAACTTGATAAATTTTTATTCTGCCTTTTAAAAATTTTTTGTAAAGTTATTATTCTCCAGTGTCCTTTAATTTTCTCTCTGGAATTTTGAAGGAAAATAAGAAGAAATAAGAAAAAAATGCCCAGGAACAGAGATTTCATAATAAATCCTAGTGCTTCTGTTTCTAATCTATTATACTCTATAGTTTGTTACAATACTCAATTTAATAAATGAAATGTTTCTTCGCTCTTAAACCTCTGTTAGGGCATAAGAAAACTCAAAATTATATGGATTTTACTTCATTGTTTTTATTTTATTATAAATATATGTGTGTATGCTAAAATAAAATTTACCCCTAAAATTCCCAATTCCTATGACAAATGTTAACTCTATGGCTCCTACAAATAAGAACTCTTTCCTTAAACATAAGTCTCAGTTTTGTCTACCACTGAAGCATCCTCCTAATTATCTCTCAGTATCTTGGTATTCATAACATATTTTTCCTTTGCTATTACACAAAAGACTCAGTGCAAATGTTTTATATGCATATTTGTGCATTTGTTTCAAATACCTATCATTATATTTATAAACTTCAAATGGAGTGTTTGTGAGTTCTTTAATTGTAACAAAATTTCACATCACACACTGCTCTAAAAAGTAGACAACCTCTAGAAAGAGCAAAAATTCTGTTATTAAAATTATCTTAGCTGAACAGTGGGTACATATTAACAGAAAGTATATAAAATGTGTTACTCAAAATTTAAACATAATGCTATGTGTCAGACAGCGTATTCTAATTGGTTCATCTCTATCATGATGACATTTAAATATTGTCTTTGTTTATGAAGACATGAGTAAACCAAAGCTAAAAAGTGTTAGATGAATTCAAACAGGAAATGTGAGAAATGTTTCAGTTATAAAACAATGATTAAATTTTAAAACATGAAAGAACTAGAGTATTTGCTTTATAAAGAGATGTCACACCACAATCACTTTCTAAAATTCAAATATCAAAACTATTTTAACAGTATTTTAATAGACAGAAAGGAAAATAAGGGCATTTGAATAATTTATCAATACACTTTTTTTTTTAATCTCACAAATTAGCTAGAATACCTGGATAAAGAAAACAGTTCAAGAAAAGAATTACTTTTAATGTACTAAATATATTCAATAATGTATTTATTAATATAGCAAATTATGGAATATCAAAATTTTCATTGAAAAATCTTAAAATATAGATTAAGCCATATATTTACTATCAATCCTAAAAATAAGGAAGGTCAACTAAATCTTCCTTCTTTTTTTTTTTTAATCTTCCTTTATTCTTAAAATACAGTTTTCCAAGTGCACTGGCATAAACAAGTATTTCATTTGATCCTCTTAATTCTGCACTTTTGATACTATATCTCTATTTCACTATTTCACAGTTGCAAAAAGGTGAACTGAGCAAGATCACAGGGACAGAAATCAAGGGAATCCTGACAGGAGCCTAGGATTTATGTCTAAATTACATGTACATCCTAAATAGTGATCAATGCAGCTTAAAAATAAAGATATTTAACATAGCAAAGTCCCCAAATATAAAAATATATATATATATATATTTATATGGCACTCTACAAGGTAAATTTAGAGAATATAAACTTCTATTTTAACTTACAACCAATCCATTCAGTTTAAGGTTAATTCATGCATCAGACTTTATGTCCTTGAGTCTTTTAAATAATATTCCACTAATCATCGTCAAAGTCAGGGACATAAGAAAGTTACTTATGTCCTTAGTTATTAAGCAATATACCTGAAAGGCAAAATCCAAAATAATCCACACAGATATTAAAAAATAATAGCATACCACAAACAAGAAAATTTCCTTTTATTTCATTTGTTCCATAGTTAAAATTCTCATGCATTTATGTGTAACACCCAAAACCTGGGTTAATTTCTCCTCAAAGCCTTTCACAAAAATCACACTTTGTTATTTTTGTTTAATATTAAATCCTTAGTGTGCTCAATTGCCATCTCTGACCCCTAATTCTATGCCTAAAAGTCCGGCCTTAATTGGTTTGAGACACTTAAGCAAAGAATTCTTGCTTTGTTATTTATGCTATGAAAATCAGTAACTTTCACTTAAACTTTAAGTTGGCAAAGAAGTAAACCTAAAGAGTAGACATCAAGGAAATAATACTTTCAAATTACAATAACATAAATCAGATAAAATGTGGTCTCTTTGGACATTTTCATATAGTGCACCAGTGTTCTTACCCTACATAATTCTGAAGCATGTGCTACCAAATAAAAACAATAAAATGAAGCCTGGGTGTGTATCTCCACAGAATATTCACAGTCAACTGAGGACCTCTAGTGCTCTTTAAAATGTACTCCATCTTTAGAGTTTTCAAACCAAAAAAAAAAAAAAAAGACCAATTCATTTATTAAGTGGTATTCATTTTCCCTAAAGAGTTCCCTGAAGAGTTCCCCAATGCTTCCTCCCTAAATCCTTCCCAACCCTTCCAAAAAGAATCTGAAGTCCTGACTCTTCTTATAGAGCTAAAAAATTTTAAGTGAAAATAATTTTAAATAATTCTTCTAGTATTTAAAATAGTAAACCAGTAATGAAAACAAACTACAGATAATAAGCAACAGCAGGATTTGAATTTCAGAAAGAAAATACCTCTGTGCTGTAGATTAATGAATTTTCTTCAAGACAATGTAAAAGAAAGAGATACATTTCATTATAAGGTCAATTTTTCAGTACAAACTATATTAACTTTCATGTTTACAGAATTCTTTTCATTACCAAGTAGAAGCAGTTTGAAGATTCTTTCAAATAGCTAGTCTGGACCAACAGAGCTCTAGAATATTGCCGCCAAAAAGTAACTTCTAATGAAAAACAACCAACCAAAACAAAACAAAAAACTTCAAATAATCTCAATACAGACAAGCTTTGTTTATTCAACTCAATCTACAGAGAATTCTAATCTTTTAAATTAAGGAAATGGGGGAAAAAATCCTAAAAAATATCTATCGGATCTTAGATGTTTATTACATGACCTAGCCTTGGCAGCTTACAGAGCATACCAAACTGCAGGACTGGAAGCACATGGCTGACTACAGGTTCAGATCTGGGTTGGATGAGAACACATCACGTGAGCATACATACCCAAGAACCTGGAGGGCTGGAAAAAGGTGATGGCGGTGTGATGTGATCCTATGAAGGGTGCTTCCCTCTCCCCTGTCTTTTCCTCTATGCACACACAAACCCTCTATCATAAATAAATGTTTAAAAAAGGATGTTTATTACATGAATTTACATACAAGACAAGCTCACATTTTATTACAAGAATACATAAGTAGACAACAGTAAAATTTCAGAAGGAAAATTATAAATTTCACAAATATAAAGAATCAGGAATTTATTATTTCAGCAGAATGAATACCCCCAAAAAAATCAACTTTAGAAAGTTCTGCAAAGCACTGGAAGTGTTTAAATTATAGATGGGGATTACTACTCACTATATACATTATCATTAAGGTATCAATTGGCTAGCATGTCATAAAGCAGGCCCTCAAAAGTTTTCTAAAGTCTCTTGAGGTTACTTTTGCACAAAAAATGCATCTGATATTATGTTGCTGTTGAAGTAGGATTCAAAGCAGCCAAAAGGACTCCAGCAAGAACCCACACATAGTACCTTCCACCAAACATGTTGCCTACATGCATAAGATATTTGCTCAAGGTTTAGAGTTGCCCATGGATGTCCTCTCTTCTTTTTTTTAAGGATTATTTATTTATTTAATTCCATTTGTTATTACTATTTTTAATTTAATAAGACAGAGATGGAGAGAAAAAGGGGAAGGGAAAGTGAGAAAGCATGCCGCCAGGTCCAAGACTTGAACCATAGTTGGCCATGTGGGAATCCAGTGCCTTTATCCACCACACCACCAGTTAGCCCTCTTTTCCTCTTACAGTTGAAAAATTATTGATATATCTTGAACTTGATATTTTTTAGTTTCCAATTTTACCTTCTTTGAGGGAAAAAAAAAAAAAGGAAAAGAGGAAAACCAAAACCCCACAAAGAATAGTAAAGCATTAGTTATGTTTTTCCATCCCTCCAAATGAATCTTGGATTCCAGATATAAAAGACACTCTATGAGCATTTTTTTTTCTGCTGTTTATATTGAACTCAAGAGACAGAGACAGGGATCTGGCATTTCACTACCAGTCTCCTATCAAGCATCTTTTATATTTTCAATATGCTGATTCAAGGACCTAGATGATTAAATTTTAAAAATTATTTTATTAAACTTTAATTAATTAATTTTGATTTGATGAGAGAGAGAGAGAAAGTGAAAAAGCAAGCTGCCATGTCTGGGACTCGAACCGTGGTCAGCCATGTGAGAGTCCAGTCCTCTTAACCACCACGCCACCTGCCAGTCCCCTAAATGATTAATTTTTAAATTCATCTGGAAATGAAGACTTCTGTCCTGATTTATACCTATTGTCATCCTTTTAATAAAATGGGCAGGAGTGAGCCACTAACTTTAGTCTCCAATGGTTGGTTAAGCCAGATACAAGTTCAGAACCTTTCAACACGATCCATTTCTGATTATTGTAGAACTCTAAAAAGATGAGATAACATGAAAATAAAATTAAAACTATTTTTCTGTCCTACATCAAGTATTTCTCTTTTAACAACTTGGATATCAGAAAGGAAGAAGAAAAAAGACTGCAGGACTTCTAAAGTATCATAACTCCTTGTTAGTGCCATAAATTATGATGTTGTAAAGATTACAAACAACTCTAAAAATAGGATTGTTCTGTTCCCACATACAGCTTTCCAATTCTTAACATACACAGGAAGCTCCATCTTCAGTGGATAAGACTTGGCTTGAATATTATCATACAGAGTTTAGAAGTTCAACAGGAATTAGGGCTCCCACATTTTAGATTGTAGCATTCCAAACAAATACATTTCAGCATATAAAGTAGATTTTTTTTTAAGTTTTAGCATAAAATTATAAAATAACTACACATTACGTTAGGATTGTGACATACTTATAATTTTGATGAAAAACAGGCTATGATCTTTGGCCATCTCCTCTACTCCTAATTTCTTTTCAGAGGCAAACACTCCTTTTTTTTTAGCAACTGTTGGCCATTGCAGTATTATGAGACCATCTTTAAAGTATATTAATCATACTTTCAACAGTATAGTGCTCATCTCCTTAGGGCATACCTCTTTGTATTTTGCAAACACCAAGTACTCATTTGTACAAAGTTTACTTTGTATAGCACTTCAGGTTACTGTTACGTTAATTGAAAGAACACGGATTTAGTTAATTCTCTAAATCACATTTCCTCATCTGCGAATGGAAGAGAATTAAGAATACTATTAAGAGTTTATGTATTCAGCTACCAAATTCTGTTATCCTTACTGGTTAATCTGTTAATCTCAGCACTCTCTTTGATCATTAGTAATTTTCTAAAATTTTTACTTATAAAATCTTTATTCAACTTTATTGATGTATTCATATGTACTAGATACTAGAATATCAAATGAGCACATGGTTTGTCTAGTCATGAACTAGAAGTTTAATTATACAGACATGTAAATTAAAATTACGGCACAATCTGATAGATGTTCTGATACAGGTAACATTAAAGCTCTACTAAAAACCAGCAGAGGTGATAACCGATTCTACTTTAATGACTAATTAAAGGCTTAATCAGGAAGTAATATTTAAGCTGCACCTTAAGAATTAACTAATGTTTGCTACAAGGTGGAGGAGGGCATTCTGGGCAAAGGCAGAACAACATGTGCAAAGGACAAAATCATAAAAGGGAATGGAGTATTTATGGAAAGTTGACAGGCTCATTTCATGTGACTTAAGTACCACTCATCAGTGTCAAGGTAGGGGACAAGTCCTACATATGTTTCATGATGAACTTCCAGCCAGACCCCTCCATTTTCACATTTTATCTCACAATAATTTCTAAAATTCAGATATTTTAAGACCATTTAAGCCCTGAAACGTCATAAAAATATAAGTTCAAGTAGAAATCACCAATGCTAATTCTTATTCCTTTATTAATCACATTATATGCCCTCATATAAATGACTACTCAAGCATGTAAAGTAATAAATGAAATCTTCCCATAATTCTCCAAGAGCATAAATTCACTAGATGTACAATAAGTAAACATAAGCAGAAGCAAGTTAAAGGATGCTTCTTTTTTAAAGAACAAAAGAAACATTCTTTATTACTGTAGTATCTAAAACTTCAAACAAAGGTCATTAAAATATATACCAAGTTTAAGTTGCCATTTTCTGAGCAGGGAGTGTTAAATGTAAATTAAATAACAACCCTTAGTCACCGGTGTTGGACAACGCAAAAGAATATGCAGTAGAGAAACTTAAGTCATCACCAGCTCTTACAGGATGAACTAAGTTGGCTATATGGAATTCTTTACTACAGGCCAATGCTTATGAAGGACAGTGTCAAATGACTTATTGGGCCAAATGAAAGCCCAGTCTAATATATAATTCAAAATATAACAGAGCCAAGCAAGTTGAGTACTGAAAACTATATAATCTAACCTCCACATGCTGTTTCTTTGTACAAGTACATGCCTGATTCCTTTCTTATCCTTCCCCATTCTTTCCATCCTTCCTCTTCTCTTGGAACAGGGCTGACAGTTTGAGGAGGGTTTCCATGAAATACATACAGACTACTGAGAAAATGAGATCTCTCAGCTAGAGTAAGGTTATCAATGATATATTAATAAATGTTAACAGTTACTATCTCTGGAGATTTTTTAAACTCCATTTAAAATTTCTTTTATTTGAAAATTAATATAGAAGTAGTCTGATTGAAAACAAAATATCCCAAATATTAATAGCCACTATCTCTGGGCAGTTAATTTACAGTTAATTTCCAAACTATACCTAATTTTTCTATTCAATAGACGAACATGTGTAAGTTTTTGTTTATTATTAAAGCTTGGGCTCCATATAAAGCAAAAGCTTGTGGGAGCTCTGAAATGAAGCAAGATGGAAACCACTTCTCTTAAGTACAAGTCATTTATACAGAGGAAATGCCTGTGGTAGGCAGTGATATAACAATAATTCTATTTTTACTGCTGGAGAGTGTGCACACACATGACAGCAAGAGAGAAGGAGAAAGAAGACACCCCCCCACCCCCCAGCCCCCCCATCTCTGGTCACATTGTAATCCTTTCTCTTCCGAATCCCATAAGAATCTGGGGCTTGTGTAAAGATGCCTAGTGTGATTTTAATGGGGCTGGAATTCCAATCAGTGGGCCATGTGGGATCTGGCTTCCTCTCTGCTGTGCTATTGGGAAGGCCCTATGAAAATGTAATTACAATGCTTTCTGAGCTTGACATCTTTAAAACTTAACATCAAATATTGTTAAATACTATTTAAAATAACATCCTACAAAGTCATAAAATCAGAAAAAGTAATGATAAGCAAACTGAATCTATGCTTCTGGTAAAATACTTCTCATTTGACTATTTTATTTTGGACTAAAATTAAGATCTAAGGAATAATTTATTGTATGTATTTTTTTATAAGATTGCCTCTGGAGCTATTAATACACTAAATATCCACACCAATTACATTTACAGAGAAACACACAAGTATTATATGTAAGAATTTTTACCCAAAAGAATAGCCCCAAACAACTTGTACTTTAAACGAAGTTAATACTTCCAGTCACTTGGGGAGAGGAAAAGACAAAAGTTAATACAACCCAAACACGAAACAAATGAAACTGTCATAGTACACCCCACCAAAAGAGAATAGAGACAGACACACACATAAAAACACACACATGCACACAGACCATAGAAACACATGATCCTATAAAAACCAAATAGTGTTGAGGAAGATGAATGAATCCAAAGTTGTGTTTTACCTGTTCAGAGAGTAAGTTACACACAGGACCCTAATCCATTTATTGTTTTTTAAATTCCAGGCTACTAAAAGAAGACTAGCATTTCATACTTGGCTCCCAGCTTTTATCTTTCTTCTGACCATTTAAAACTTCAAACGACCTGCCTTTCTGATATCATGGAGAAAGTCCAATACCTCACACGCTCAGCTATTAGAAGAGCCTCAACTATTGAAGTGCCTCAACAAGCACGTCAAAATTTTCAGAACCTATTTATCAATTTCTGTCTCATCTTAATATGTCTCTTGCTGATCTGCATCATTGTGATGCTTCTCTGAAGTTCACTACAGCCTCCAGATCTACAATATACCGCATCAGTCTAAAATCTGTCACACCATGAAGAGGAAGAAACAATACTGTCTAACAGACCACTTCCTGAGTAGAAGAATTTCTTTGTGAGAAGGTCGAGACTAAAACACACCATTAGCAAATATAGTCATCTGTCAAATCCTGTAAACATGAAAAGGGCTTTATTTTCAAAAATTAACTTTTAAATGACTATAATACATGTTTATGATGTAACTGTTGATTTCCTCGACATGCTTATAAATTTCTATCCCAAATCTTTTCTGAAGACGAAGTACAAATTTAGTTTTGAAACTTCACGTCTAACGAGTTCACTTCATATCACTCTCTGGAGTAAATTATCATTTATACTGCATTGTAAAAGCTTCTTTGATACTTACTAAGTATTTTTTGGGTCTTCACCAAGTACAAAATAATAATTCATATGAAGTGTCATTGTTCAAAATAGCTACTGACTCCTCACATCTGTTATCTTTATTATTATAATATAGAAGTCTTTATAAGAACTCCTTTTGGGAACTTACATTCTAAAATAGAAATTGGATTCTTTTTCTCTACCATATTAACATTTTTTAAAGTTCATGAGACTCAAGTAGGAAAAAGCCCATTCTTTGAGATAAATAAAATTCCTCTTAATAATTTATTTTTAAGGATGACAGAATTCTAGTACATGTAAACCAGAAAACATTATGATCAACAGATGAGAACTGGTAATGTAACAGATGATAATATGATTAGCCATAATTATTAAAGAACAGAGTCCTCATTTTAATTTAAGGCACTACAGCAGATTTACTGAGCTAGACTACTTAACTTGCCATATTGTGTCTTTGGAAACAAGAAATCTTAAGTTTCCAGAGTAATTTTGTAGGCTGTCTTCTCTTTCAAAACTGTATCCAAAATGTAGG